ACCTCATGCAGCCAGGTTTGTTAGGGGACACTTTTGTTCCGAGGGGACCTATTAGCGAGTAAGGGCTATAGATGTGTTGCAACTTGAAATTTGACTGGGATATGAATATGTAAATTATATTCAAACACAACTGAGACCTGCAGCTCAGAAGTCAGGATAGGGCCTTTGGGGAGATTCCCACAGACAAAACCGGCAGAGATCAATTTGAAGATAGATTTTTTTATGCTGTCTGGGTTCCTTCCTCCTATTTACCCTCCTTAGCATGTATAAATAGTTAGCACAACCATGGCTAGATGAGCATATTTACATTAGTGAAACAAACCCTCTAACTTTCCTTCCTTCTCTATTGCTCAAGAGAAGCATTTAATTCTCCAGAAGCACCAGCTGAGTAGTGTCACAGAGACCAGGAGGGATGACTTCCGATCTTTGGGCTCAAGACGGCTGATAGATCTCACAACAACCTCTCCTTCACTCCGAATTCTTAGAAAAGAGAATCTTCTCTGGAAAACAAGAAGATGTACCCTCAGTGGACCCGAAATTGGGGGTGGGGATGGGAAATCACTAAAACATGGAACACAGATAGGAATGGAGTAAAGAAGGAAACCACAACCAGATGCACACAGGAGAGAGCGGCTACAAAAGGTGAAACAAAGACAGGGTACAGCCCACAGGGAGGGTAGAGAAAGAGGGGCCCTGGACTCGCTAACAGGGTTATTACCTGAGGTTCCGCAGTGAGAACCACCAGGTGTGTGGAACCCTTCCTGTCCCCTACCTTCTCATCTTTTACCTGGATTGATCCACTTGGATCTGGCAGCAAACAACAAAGCTGTGCTTAGAGATGAGCCATGAGCATGTGTGCTTGGAGAGAGAAGCACACTCGCCTTGGGCAACCTATCGCCCCCTGCAAGTATGAGGGGGCTCCCCTGCCTGAGAGCCTGATTATCACAGTGACACACCTAGTGGCAATCTGCTCCTCCCGAGGCTCATTGTGCACACCAGCACACCAGCACACAGCAGCATGCAATGGCCCTCTCCCATCTCTCACCCTACGCTACGCAGGCCAGCAGGCAGGTAATGCATGCAGAGCAGCTAACGTGGGAAAACAAATACAAGAAATTACTCACAATCACAAATCATTAAAGATTTGAGGAAAGTTAGCACTATTAAAAAGAGGCACCAAACTCAGGGAATAGAAGAACTTGACCAATGAAAAACAGAGGTAATGAGGCAATCAGAAAAAACAACCACAAAGCAAGTTAAAAGAGACATGCTTAGAAAGTAACTGCAATGACTATGACAGATAAAGGATGAGTTGCAGAATATATAAAGAGATCAAATAAATCAGTAAGAAAAAAGAAACAATCCAATAGGAAATGAGAAAAGAGCCTAAAGAAGTAATTTGTACAAATAAAAATATAAAAACTGTCTAATCTCACTATTAATTGGAGAAATGCAAATAAAAATGAAACATTGATTTCACCTTTGAGGTAAAAATTTCTTAATATAAAATGATGGCAAAAATAAGGGGAAATGGCTGCTCTTATGTCATGATCCAGCCACTTAGAAGGAGATTGAGGTGTATCTATTAAATGAAAGTTCCAGATCTTCTTCTGACAAAGCCATTCCATTTTTCTGTGTCAGCTCAAGAGAAACATTGACATGTGCACAAAGTTACATATATAACAATATTTGTGGCTGTACTGTTTGTAATAATAAATCTTGGAAATAACCTTACTGTTTTCAAATAGGGAAATGATTAAACATGCTATGACACATCCATATTATAGAAAACAGTGAAATTTCTGTATTTACACTTATATGGAAAACTCCATAAGATATGTTATCAAGTGAGGAAAATGATTTGTGGGCAGTACATACAATAAATTCCATGTATGTAAAAAAGTTAAAACAAAAATATTGTATGATTTTACAGGTACATGTACACACATGTAAATATGTGCATAAAAATTTGAAGGGATACACATATGATTGATAACAGTACTTTTCCCTGGGGAGAAGAATGGGAAATGGGAGGTGGCAAGGAGCAATTTCAACATTATTTGCAATATTTCAGTTATTATTAACAGAATATATACACATGTTACTTGAATAAAAGGTTAAAGCTTCTAAATTCAGAAACCAAATTCAAATATAGATTAAGTAGAGAGAGACACTTACTGATTTGTTAGATGATAAAGAAAACCCACCACCCAGGATTCCAAAAAGCATTGGTGACTATTTTTGCAAACAAGATAAAAGAAAGCAACCACTCAGTTTATGTTCTCGTCTTAAGAAAAAGAATACTAATCAATGATAAGGCACAGCTGCAGAGACAGAGCATCACATGCCGGCTCAGGAGACAACACAGCACTGCTTGTCTTTGAATACCAGGACTCTGAACTTCTCTACTGCAAAATGAAGGGGAAATGGCCTCTGAAAACGTTTTCGCATAGAGTTCACCTTTGCTGAGTGCAGACAACCCACTCTCATTTCACCACTGGCTTTTCAGAAAAACCAGAAACATGCCTTGTGAGACAGCCTTTAGAAAGATAATATTTCACAAAGTGTTTTGTACATTTCAGTTGAATTTTCTTCAACTTACTTTATGCCCCACTATTCATAATTATCAGAGTCCTATGGGATAGGCAAACAAAAGCCATTGCCTTTCAACCGATAATACCACATTCTCAACACTTACTGGCTGTTCTGAGAATACTGATAGGTCCCTGACCAGTCTAACGGGGAGCAAAGTGTTCTTTCATGCAAGAACAGGAATAGAACTTTGTGATTAATAAGCCTTCAAAGTGGAAAAACATAAAAATTCAAATTAGTTGGGAGGTTTACTCCTTCCCAGTAGACACAGAAGAGAGAGGAGAGGCTTCATAGTGATAAGCTTGCCCTCGCTGGCTATATCAGTTAGATTCGGCTAGATTATGATACAATAACAAACATTCCCCCAAATTTCAGTGGCTTCAAACAATAAAAATTTCCTTCTTGTTAATATCGCATGTCTGTTGTAGGTCAGCAAGGAGGCCCTATACATCATTGTCATTCAAGAGCCCATGCTCATAGAACAGCCACCATCTGGAACATCTCTACTCGCAAGGCAGATGGAAAGAGAGACGATAAGGTTAGGAGAGTCTTGCATTTGTACTAAAATGCTCTGGCCCAGATGTGACACACATCACTTCTTCTCATTGATCAGAGTTATTTATATGGTCACACTCAATCACAGGGGCCAGGAAATATAATTCAATTATGTGCCAAGAAGAGAAACATAAATATTTAGCAAACAAAAATAATGACTATCACATTAGCTGGTGCAGGGGTATCAAAGACATCTACACTGAGGATGTCAGGCCAACAGCAAGTTAAATGAAGGGCAAGTATGCTAAGAACTTGGAGCTTCAGGTGGGCTTAATCAGGGAGTAGAAATAATTCATCCTGCCTAGGAATCTTAACATAAATAGAAAAATTTTTAGTAATGTCCAGATTAGGATAATTAATTTATTTATGTAGGTGATGCTGGGATATTTCTCCCAATTGCTCACAAACAATTTATGGGAATGGTTTCCAAGCTGGCTGATTATTAAGACCATCTGGGAAGCTTTAAAAACTAGAAATGTCTGGGTCTCGGTCCTAAGGAATCTAATTCAATATAAGGCTGAAATGAGCTTCAAGAATCTATATACTTCACCCTGGGGCTCCAGGGATTCTCATTATTAGGATTGGTGACTTTTACCCAAGACATTCAGTTCAGCAGTCTTCGTGCAAGGCAATGCACCAGCCTTTCCAATTTCACAGACATTGAGACTGGTGAATGACCTGGGTGACAATGGGGGCCACTGAGCACCAGGGCACTAGAGAGAAAGAAACAGTGGCTGAGGGCCGTAACACCTGCTACTTGGGCCTTGTTCTGATTATCTGTTGCTGCATAGCAAACCATGCCAAAAGTTAGTGGCTTAAAATAACAACAAGCATTTCATTCACTCATAAATTTACATTTGGGGCAGGGCCTGTAGATGGCTATTCTTGTCCCAAGTGTCTCCAGCAAGGGACACTTGACTGGACCTGGAGGTACCATATCCAGGATGGCCACAAAATACTGTCAGCAGGGGCATTGACCAGGAACCCCAATTCCTCTCCTGTGTGTCTTTATGGGGCTACTTGGGCTTCCTCATGGCATGGCGTATGGGTTCTAAGAATCCATGTTCACAGAGCAGAAAGTGGAAGCTGCCAGTCTCTTAAGACATGAGTCCAGAAATGGGCACAGTGCCACTCAGGCAGCTCTCTATTAGCTAGGTAGCTATAGAGCCTGCCCATATTCAAGAAAAGAGAGCTCTCACTCTCAATGGGAGGTGTATCAAAGAATTTGCAGCCATTTTTAATCAGCCATAGTCCTTGCTCTGCCCTTTGGGCCTCGGGCTTCTCACCTGTGAAATCAAAGAGTGAAATTGGATTATCTCTGAAGGCCCTGCCAGTCCCCTCAGGCTATGAATGAATCACAGGCTCTGATGCATAATTTGCTGATTGACAAAGAAGCCCAGTCTGTGAGTCCTTGCTCTTTGTAGGCCTGCATGTGGTGACAGCTAAACTCAACCCGACAGACATGCATAGCTCATGGGCTAGGGATGACCCTGGGCACCCAGGTTCCTCTGCATTTCCCACTAAACTCACTATTTTTCTCTCCAAAGCCAAAGTCATATCCCAATTCCCAGAACCTGACAGCAGCTGTCCTAACCATCCACATCATTCTTACCCGATCTCTTGGGCAATAATTCATAAGCAATACATGCAATGAATGGACAAGAAATTTCAACACAAGATTGGCAAAGCTCAGGAGTACAATGAAGGGCTTCAGTGAATGGGCTCTATTTCCAGACAGTCCGGGTTCAAACACTCTCAACACTACATTCTAGCTGTGAGAACTTGGGTAAAATGACTTCATCATTTTAAATTTCATTTTTCTGTTTTTAAATGGTGATATAAATAGCACCTACCTCATTGAGTTGTTGCAAGAGTCAGTTGTGATACAGCGTATAAAGCACTTCGCACAGAACTTGATCCACAGCAGGCACTTGATAAATCTTAGCCAGTGTTTTTATTGTCGTAATGCAATAGTCACTCTAGGCATTGTTTGTTGTGTATATTCCAGACCCGGTGAAGATGGATCTTGCTGGAGTAAGCAGTGTGAGACCCAGGACATACTACAGTAGGCGTGGTCACTGACCACTGGCCTCCCCACAGGGGCGGAGGAAACGTGGCTGCTGCAAGCATCTCGCGCCTGCTCAGCCAGCACCAGAGTGGGAGTCCCGCATTAGCAGAGCATCACTGGCCAGTCATTGATTGATCCCAGTGTGGACGAAGTTCTCACCTCCTCAGCCACCCAGAGCCTTTGTCGAGTGTCCCCCATGAGCCTGCCAGATGCTGGGGCCACAGCAATGAACAAAGCAGCCCAGGCCCCTGCCCTCATGGAGAGCACTTTCTCTGGTTCTACCATATCTGAAAGGCACTGCTTGCAGAGTCCCATGGCTGAGCCATTCTGGTCTGCCCTGACCTTCAGTCTCACATTCTAGAATCTGCAACTTTTTCTGATGCCTGAAAGCTTGCCTGGCAGCCTCTGTTAGGGGTGAGGGTAGGGGGCTGACTGAAGGGGAAAGACTGTACACAGTCTGGACAACACTTTAATGACCATGCGGGAATATTTTGGTGAAGCAGTAAAGTGTAATTCCTCAATGTTATTGCAGAACTGCCAGCTCATTTCTGAAGAGATGCAAAACACAAACAAGCTGGCCTTGTTCGCCGCGTCAATGCTGTACTGTGCTGCTGGGTTTAGGGAGGCGGCTGCCCCAACAACATCTTGTAATATCCCTGCTGACTCCTTCAGGACATGGCTGCAGGGCTCCAGTGCTTCCTGAGCAGGGAAGAAAAGCCATGTAGCATATGGGGGAGACATTCAGACATGAAAGAGCCAGGCAACAGGAAACACGGTCTGGCGCTCCTGCGGGCACCAGTCGGCTCTTAGCAAAGGATGGATGCTGGCCAGCTCGGTCATGGCCTTGCCCTTGTAGTCCCTCCCAGACACACCCCCCCTGGCCCTTCCTTCTCAGCCACCTCCTGCATGGGGTCCTCTACCCTTTGCAGCATCTTAACCAGGACCTTCCCCAAGGTTTCTCTTCTTAGTCTGCTCACCTGCTTGCTGTGATCACTCCATGCTGTTGGAGATTCTAGATATTGCTGGCAGATTCTAGTTAAAGATGCAACTGAGGCCTTACCCTTGAGCCCTCATCACATCTATCCAGAGGCTTCTGGACATCTCCACTCAAGGTCTCATGGCTCTTCAAACTCGATGTAATGGGTTAAATTGTGCCCTCCTCAAAAGATGTGTTGAAGTCCTACCCCCAGTACCTGTGAATGTGACCTTATTTGGAAATTTGCAGATATAATCAAGTTAAGATGAGGTCTTTGGGGTGAGTCCTAATCCATTATGACTGGTGTTATTATTATTATTTTTTTAATTATCTTTATTGTTGAAAGTATTACAGGTGTCCTCTTTTTCCCAATGACCCCTTCTACCCTGCACCCACCCTTTTTTTCTCCCCACTTTCCCCACCCTAGGCCTTCAGCACACTGTTGTCTGTGTTCTTACAAAAAGAGAAAAATGCCATCTGAAGACAGAGACACCCAGGGAGAAGGTCATGTGATGACAGAGGGAATGATTAGAGTGATACAGCTTTAAGCCAAGGAAGGCGAAGGACTGACAGCCACCGCTGAAGGTAGGAAAACGCAAGGAAAGAGGGACTCTCCCCTACAGGTGTCAGAGGGAGCAGGGCCCTCCTGACGCCTTGATTTTGGACTTCCAGCCTCGAGAACTGTGAGAGAATACATTTCTGTTGTTCGAGCCGTTCATTTTGTGGAATTTAGCAGCCCCAGGAAATAAAGACACTCAACGTGGCCCAAATCGAGTTTGTCATTTTCTACCTTTCAGCCCAGATAACTTTTTCAGTAGGAGACTGTAGTAACCACCTTGGCCAATCTCTCTCCATCTGATATCATCTCCTACCCCCAGCCTACCCCCAGCCTTCACATTCTGCCCCCGTGAGCTAAAACCCCTCATGTCACACCCCCACTTAAAACCACCTGTAAACTCTAAACACATGAGCATAGCCCGCTGGGAACTTCACAAGTGATTTGGCTCCGTTAAACAGCCTCCGTTTACCGTCCTTCCTTTGCTCCTTTCCCTACCCTTGCTCTCGCAAGGTTTGTTGAGGTTTCCAGAATAATGCCATGCTCTTTCATGCCTCAGCGCCCTGGCAGGGGCTGGGCCCTGTGCCAGAAACATCCATCCTCTTGTTTTCCTGGTAAACGGCGATTCATTCTTCAAATCTCTGATTCAATGTTTTCTCAGTTGTGAAAACTTCCAGTGTTTCCCCGGGCAATTTCGGGCAGCTTATGTTTCCTCTGTCCTACAAGGGTACTTATCTTCTTGGGTTATAACTGGACTGTTTACAGGCCTGTCTGTCCACCACACAATGTTGAGGGCACGGGCTGTTTTCTGCTCTGTATCTCCAACACTTGGCATCCATTCATCCCAGCCCTCTTTTCTCTGTTCTTTCAACAAGCACATCTTGTGTTTAGCATCTACAATGAGCTGGGCAAGGCAGTGGGGCCCCCATGAGGAACACAGCTCCTGCTCTCATAGTATTTACTGTCCAGAGGGGAATAAAACTAAGTAAACAGGCAGTTACAGGGAAGGCCAGCAATGCCACCGGGGGCACAGGCACAAGATGCTATAGGAATTGGTGGGCAGGTATTTTGCGCAGTCTCGGGGATTCCCATGGGAAGAAAGGTCCAGGTATGTGGTGAAGGCAGAGAGTTATCAAGAATGGTCCTGGTCACAGCTGGGGAACAAAGGGGAAAGGGTAGAACAAAGGGAAGAGAGTCTGTTGCTGTATTTGAACCCCCAGACCCCAGGGACCTTATAAGTCCATTAAAGAGAGTGGACTTTATCCTGGGGGCCCAATGAGTTACAGACATGTTTCAGGCACTTTATCATTTTGATTCCCTTTTAAAATTATCTTTATCCAATTGCTTTTAATTAAAAAAAGCAAAACCATGATTCTTATAATAACCAAAAGAGCCAAAGATATAGCAACAAGAAGTTAAAAATCACCCCCTCTCATTCCTGAGCCCTGAGGTAACCTGTGCTGTTGAGCAGGCCGGATAAATGCACGCAAACGTAGACAGACATATGCTTTGGGGTTTATTTGCTTACTCGACTTTTTTACAAAAATGGGATCGCAGTAAACACATTTTTCTACAACTCGCTTTTGCGCTTAATATATTAGCACCTCTGCACGTGACCGTGTAGATAGATCTACCCTATTCTTTCTGCTTTGTGGCAGCTATTTTACACCGCACGGCCTAGGAGGCGCTCTGTTCGTTCTGCCCTGTTGTTATTGATGGACGATCGCAAGGTGCCCAATGTCTGGCCGCAGCAAACAGCACTTCTGTAAACACCCTTTTCCTTGTCTGCATATTCTTAGGCACTGGTGTTTTTTTTTTAATCCTCAACAGAGGATCTTTTTTCCATTGCTTTTTCAGAGAGAGTGGAAGGGGGGGGGAGAGAAGCATCGATGTGAGAGAGACGCATCCACTGTTCTCCTCCTGCATGTGCCCCAGCCGCGGGGGCAGGGAGCCAACCTGCAACCCAGGTACATGCCCTTGACCCTGATGGAACCCACGACCCTTCGGTGTGTGGGCCGGCGCTCCAGCCACAGAGCGACACTGGCCACGGCCCGAACTGGTGCTTTTGTGTCAGCTGGAATGACAGCCCAGAACGGGGCTGCAGTGGCCACCGCGCACAGTTTGAACTTGAATCAACATTGCCAGTGTTTTTCCCGGGAGGCTTCAGCGGTTCACACTCCTACTTCAGCGTATAAAAGTGCTTGTTCCCCTGCCTTCTCTCCAGCACAGGAGATGTTCCTGGCCTTTTTAATTGTTGCCAATCTAATGAATAAATAATTAAATTTGACTTTCTCTGACTAATCCTTCTTTACTCCATTAAATCTTCATTTCCTCTTCTGTGAATTGCCTGTTCATATTTTCCCCTATATTCTCATTGCCTTTTGCCATTTTATTATCAATTTATATGAGCTTTGGGCAAATTAAGGATAAAATCTTTCATATGTGCTGCAAATGTTTATCCGAGTCTATAGTTTGGTGGGTTTTTCCTTCAAGTTTGAAAAAAGAATTTGTCTGAACATGTGTTGTTTCGTTTTCCCTTCATGGGATTTCCACCCTTATTAGAAATACCCCTTCGACTCCACGGTTATACAAATTGGGAAAATGACTTTTTCGCTAAATTTTCGTTAAATACTTTATGTATATATTTATTTGTTTACTTACAAGTAGATCTTAAACCCAAACCATCTGGGGTTCCTTGTTGAATATGGTATGAAATGGTGTCTATCTCACTTTTTCCCCCCAGATGGAGAGCCAATTAGGTCAGCACCATTTCTTGAGTCGATCATAATTTTCCCACTGTATTGAAATGTCATTTTTATCAAATTTCAAGTATGCAAACATACTGTGTCCATTCCTGAAATCTGGACTATCCCATTGAGCTATTTATTCATGTGCTCAAACATATTCTTTTGAATATGCACTTTAAACTTTAATATTTGGTAAGGCAAACGTTCCTTATTTTCTTTTTTCAGAATTATCTGTCCAAGTCTACAAGTGCTCCACTACCATGCCCCACTATAATTATGCTTTTTAATTATATTCACATGTCTTTCAAAGAGGATGTGGTTAAGAGAGTCTTAGAGAATCCTGGATGGCTGCAGGAATGAAAGCCAAGTCCCCCAGGCGCCCCCACACGCAGTCTCACGCTCTGGTTCCCTGCTCAGCACACTATCCGAAAGTCCCATAGAGCTCTGGAATCTGACCCCTGTTCTCCTCATTCCCTCAAAGTGCCAGGGTTCCCTCACCCAGATCCTAGAGACCCCCTGCCCTCTGTTCTCCTCAGGCAACTCTGTCCCAGGCTGGAGGGCAGCCACGTGGGCCTTTCCTCCCCTTCAGGCTCCTGCCAGCTCTGAGCACAAAGGCCAAGAGGACCAGAG